ATGAGATGTCACATAAGTCAAATACTAATTTAAATCTTAATATATCGCAAGATTTAATTAGCTTATTTTTAGATAGCTTTTAATGTATAATACTCTATTTATATGTATATATTTAATGGACATACATATAAAAATTTCTCAACAACCTCCCACTTGTTCAACATATATATACATTATTAATATTCATAAGAGCTCAATATTTGTTATCTTTATGAAATATCATGTCTAAAAATTTGGTCCATCAATATAGAATCAAAGTGATATTTGTTACATTCTTCATAACAAGACCCATCAATGATCATTATATTAATAAAATTAATGACATAGATCAATTATGCATGTGTAGTATGAAAATATCATGTAATATAATATCAAAGTATGACTATTTTTAACTGATCCAATATTATAACTTAAAAGAGTTATCATTAAAGGTTCAGCATTATTTGCTAAATTGCAAATGAAATTAAGTAACTTTATTTCATATTTTTAATAACCAAAATAACTACACTTTAGTTTGATCAAAAAATAAGTTTACAATAATTAAATAATACAAATTAAGTTCTACTATGCTAGCATATCATCAAAATAAATTACACACATATGAGTCACATACTCATGAAATACTTTAGGTGGTAATCTTTTAGTAAGTATGTCTGCAATCATAAAGTTTGTACTAACATGTTTAATAGCAATTTAAGAACTCTAAACCATTTCTTTCACAATAAAAATTTAATGTCAATGTGTATGGATTTTGACGAGCTCATATTGTTCATGCAGTGGCGGATCCACGGTATGCTGAGGGTGGGCAAATGCCCACCCTAAAAAAAAAAATATTATAGAGAAGGGGCATTTTAGACCTTTTGTCCCCCCTAAAAAAAAAGCCCTAAATCTTCCGATCGTGAGCCATTTTGCCCCATTCAGTTCGCGATTTCCTCACGCTGTCACCCGTGCTCCAGTCGAGTTCGCTGCCTCGCAAAGTCGAAGTCGCAGGACGAGCAGACCGGCGGCGGCGGATCCCTCTTGTTCACAGCCTGCAGCCTTCATCTTCGTGTCTACGTGAAGAGCCGAAGAGGTTGCCGGCTCGCCGCTGCCCTCTCTTTCCAGTTCCCGATTTGCAGCCTTCTTCACTGTTTTGAAGGCAAGTTTTGATTGTTTGGCTTCTCATTACTACTCCACAATCTCCACTTGCTCTTTTTTTTGCTTCCATTTTTCCTTATCTTGTTATCTGCATCTTGAAGAAATTTGGATATTTTACTGTTTATCTTCTTCACTTGATTATCTTCTTCACTGCATTTTTCCTTATCAGGTTGCTTGCTATAATGCTATTCATCTTCAAATTTTGAAAATATGTAGTGATTTAACTAAGTTCTAACTACTCTTTATATTACTCAAATGAATTACTAATTTCTATGTTGTTTCTAACCGAGAATTCCCAGTTGGAAGAAATGTGGAAACGTAGTGTTTCTAAGTTCTAACTACTCTTTATATTACTCAAATGAATTAACTCAATTAATTAGGTTTAACTCAACTAAATGAATTAATTCAGTAATCAGTACCAATAAGGTAATTGGATGAGACAATTAGATTTTATATATATGCTTTGCTCACACAGACTTTGAGTTATCTAAACCTTTGTTTTTGTCATTTGTATTGAGACATAATCTTATTGTTAGCTTTTCAAATTAAAGATTATGCTCTTGCAACACATAAAATAATCTCGAATTAATGTCCATTGGTCTTGTATACTTTGTTAACTGATTTGAAATTTTTTTAATTGGATAGATCATTGTTAGGCTTTTGAGAAATGGAAAGGTTTTTGAAACGAAAAGAACGTGTCGAGATTGATATTAGTACAAGTGGCCAAGCAACGATTGCAGATGTTGAGGGAAAATGGATGGGAACCTTTACTTGAAGAAGTGTCACGTTTTTGTAATGTTTTTGAAGTTGAAGTTCCAAATATGAATTCTAAATTCAAGACTCGCGGAAGATCAGTAAAAACAAGTGCAGAAATAACAAACTTTCATCATTATCGAGTTGATTTATTCTACACTGTTGTTGATATGCAGCTTCTGGAACTTAATAACCGTTTCTCTGAATCTAGTACCGAGTTACTTCTTTGTGTGACATGTCTAAATCCGAGTGATATGTTCACTGCTTATGATAAGAGAAAATTAATTCGTCTTGCAGAGTTATATCCGACAGATTTCTCTATGGTTGATCTTATGTCTCTTGATCATCAGCTATCTACTTACATTATTGATATGCGTACTAGTGATGAGTTTACATCTTTAACCAGTATAGCAGCTCTTGCAAAACAGCTTGTAAAGGCCAAAAAAAATATTGTGTATCCGCTGGTATATAGACTTATTGTTTTGGCATTGACTTTACCAGTTGCTACTGCTACGGTGGAGAGAGCATTTTCTGCAATGAAGATTATTAAGCATCGACTGCGTAGCAAAATGGGTGATGCTTGGCTCAATGACTGTCTAGTGTCATATATTGAAAAAGAAGTATTTGATTCAATTCCAAATGAAGTCATTTTGCAACATTATCAGAAAATGCAAAGTATAATGCAAAGTTTGTAATTTTCTTTTTTATTTCATAAATTATAATGAAGTCCAATGTATTACTTAGAATTTTGCTAATGAAAATGGGAGTATTTACTTTTTTATATATTGAGTTTGCCCCCCCCCCCAAAAAAAAGGCTGGATCCGCCCCTGCCAACATTTGATTAAAGTAGAATTTATTATCATTGTAAATATTATCTAATTTTATAATTCAACCTGGATGTCAGTTGTCATATATAGTTGGAGCTATCTGAAGACCTTTTTTAATATGGATCTAATATTTATTCAATCTTAACATAATATTAAAATACTATTTTTTTAAAAGTGAGCTTAAATTATATCTTGCTTATAAACAGCCCTTTTTCTATTCATATAACGGTTGCTTTAAACTTACAAAACTCTGGCGCAGTTTTCTTCTTCTTCCTTCTTTTCAAGCCAAAATTTTAGAAGGAGAATTCTAGATTTCCATTAGAGTACTTTAAGGCTTCGTTTGCGATGGCTTTCTTATTGCTTCTTTTAGCAGCTTTTTAGGACAATAAATTTAATTTTTGTACTAAAAAATTATTTTAAGAATCAATAAGAAAGTCGAACCAAACGAAGCCTAAATTATTGCTAGATCAACTCCTTAGTTTAAAACTTCTACACATTCACTTGAGCAACTTCTTTTGAAGTTATTAAGTTCTTTTCATTTCTCTAAATCTTTCTTTGTTGTTCGTTATTTTCACAATATAGTTTTCATAAAAATTCTTATTTTTGGATCAAATTCTATCTAAGCATCATAGATTAAGCCTTTGTTTGTGACAACTTTCTTACTATTTTTAAAAATAGTTTTTTAGTACAATTTTTTTAGGTATAAATTTTTAACACTGCCATTGCCAGGTCCCAAGTCCTAGATGAGAAAAGTGGAGGGTTGCGTTAGGTAGTCGACAGCCAGCGTAAAACTTGTCGAACAATAATGACATGAATCCTTTAAGAAATTGTGTTAATGCTAGGGCGTCCCCTGGAAGCGACGCGCTGTATGGCCTGAATACAGTGACAAGTGTGCAAGGGCCGCTGCACCGGCGCCCGGGTGCAGTGTTAAATAGGCAAGGGTTCCCACATCAAGGACGGATGTGGGCAAAGAAGCTAGTCCATGAAACTAAAATTAGGATAGGAACTTGGAATATAGGTTCCCTTACAGGAAAATTAATGAAATTAATATATATTATGATTCATAGGAAGTTAAATATTTTGTGCATT